AGCGTCAGAAACTCGCTAGTACTGCACCGGCATATGGGAGCTCTACGGTGGGAACGACTCCGGTGGATGGAGAAGGAGCAACGGAACTTGCGGGATTGGCGAGGGTGCCGAGGAAACCTATTGCGCCTGTAGAAATTGATGGCAATGCTGTTATACCGGAGGTGGGGGATGCGTATATTCCGTATAGGCCTGGGAGGGAGGGAGCGTAGGATGTTTGATACCCATATATTCAATTTGTTACTGTCATTTGGTTGTTGGTCTGGTTTTTGATTGCAAGGTTGTGAAGTATGCTGTCTTTACTTGTCTGCCTTGGCTTTGTGGCGGTCATGCCTCGGGGTGCGCCCTGACTCCGCAGGCTGAGTATCAAGCTCGCTCTCCTAGACTCATGCCTTGTATTTGCTTACTGACGCCGGTCTGTATGGGTGATCAGGGTGAGACTTGAGGGGTTAATGCATATGTAAGTTGTGCTGGCGGACTCGTGTCCACTCATTTCCTAATTCTGTATTACATCTGCGGACTAACAGCAGCGCAGCTCAGAATTTGTGCCTGAGGCTACCGCTCTCTGTTCTTCCATTGGTTTTGTTTGACGTGTGAGTGTCATCCACGGGCCGTTTCCGGCGTCGGACAAGATGAGAACCGGGCTGTGTATGTGTTCTCCGCACCGGTGAGAGCCTCATTTCATACAGCTGACCAGTTTTAGTCACGACTGAGCATACTCGATGCGAGCACAGTACAGTAGCTCCCTTCCGGATCCAGAACTTCAGCTGTTGGGTTGATGTACTCCAATCATCATTGGAAACCTCCTTCCGCTTGATAACGTCTCATGTATTTGTTCAACTTGCGGCTCTGCTGATAGCTGACAGGTGACCACAAGTATAAAGTCGTCCTTGCGCTCCTTTTTCATCACTTTCAACACGTTCTGTCCCTACCTTATGCAACACATAAATATATATTGTTCCTTCATCCCATCATGGCACTTCACAAAGTTCGAGTCTTTAGACTAACTGAGGCTTTGCACTTACTGAGCCCTTGGTCAAGGAGCTTTGGGTCATCCTTACTATTACCACCTCCAACTGGATACAACCTTTTGCTTTGAAACGTCGGGTGTTGTCACGATACTCTCGAATACTTTTATCCCTGCTCGCCTCATACGTTTGAAGCCACCGAAAAAGACCTCTTCGCCGTGCCCGCGCTCCATAGCCCCTAGTGCCCTTCAGACACGATGCCCAATACGAATGACTCCACCGAGCTTGGCTTGCAGATATGCTTTGGTGTATTTGGAGTCTTGAGTACTCTTGGTACCCTGGCCGGCCTCCACCATCACGATTCGCTAGGCTGCGTCTTGATTCGACGCCTGAGACGCTCTGCTGTTTCTCGTATGTTTATGTATCGAAGCCCCGCATCAAACGTAGCTAACTTTCATCAAAGGCCAGCACAATCTCGACGAGGAGGCTGCCAATGTCAGCCTTGAAGACCTTGACGATCATGTGGGCGACACGATCTCGTTTGATCGGAGACCAACGTTGCCGCCTTCATATGAGCAGTCAAGTGAGGGCTTACATATCAACGCCGTTCGAGACTCGGGTATCGACGATGGTCCTGCCAATAAGCCTAATGGCTCATAAGACTTTCGGGCTCTGGAAGAGATCGCATCCACCATTTACATAGTATATATGTAAAACTACACGATAATGTTCTGGCTCAGCATGGTTCTAGGTATTCGCTAAGCGATTTGATCATTGGAGTACCTGATACTCTAATGTTCTTCTCAGGCAAGCAGTCGTATTAGCTTTCGTCACCACACTGATGATTTTCTCAGGCTTACCGCGCACCCTGTCTACATGCCCACAAGTGATATTGCTATCCACCTATTAATGAAATTGTTCTCTACAAAAAATGCGTTTCTCCAACGATGTCATACCCTTCCTTTTGGTCGTGACTTGTTCCCTACGAGACCGTACCATCGAGAATGTGGACTAGAAGCCACATGTCGCAAACGGTGGCAAGTACAGCAGGTCTATTTTCGAATAGAATAGATGGTGTGAAGGAAGGACGATTTCCAGGCTTCTGTAGAAGCCTTCCCTCTAGGTTGGACTGCAACTTCAAGTTGCATGAATCCATTGGGATATGTCTTTGCAGTCCCGAAGTCGTCTACAGATTGTTCCCGCGGATGATAGCATTCAAGGTCATTCTGTCCTGGCACATATTGTAGGTCAAATCTGGTTGGCCGCATACCTTGCATACGCTATCCTCAGCAGATGTTGGGCACATTGATAGCAAAGAGGTAGTTTGTCAAGGTAAATAAGATTTGGAAAAGATTCTGCCATTGTAGTGTTCGAAGTCGACAACATTTCCAGGGTTCGCTCAATGCGCCTAGCGACAACATTCGCTCGATGCCTGCCTAGGTAGCGACATGCGTACTGTGAAAAGCCCGTGAGCCTCGCTGCACCTGGAGCATACTGATCCATGACTGATATTACCTATCTTGTTATGTCTCTGCTGGTTTGATGATCGGGTAAGGCGAGTCAACAGGCGATCGAGTACTTTGCAGCAGCCTAGGCCTTAACGCTTCTCTACCTAGACAGAATCGCCGCTCTCATCCAGCCTGATAGCAAGGAGTTCTTTGATGACCACAGCAAATAAAGCGCGCAGCAATTAGAGTTGCCTCGATTTGGTAACAGAAAGGTTTCCATGAGATGATCCGAGATGAGCGAAGATCAGGAAGGACCTCGGCACAAGCCCCAAGTTTCAAATTGCAACATGAACCAGGCATACAAACGTATTCCAAACGTGACGATTTCACCGCCTTTTTTTTGCTCTGATCAAACCATAGTATTCAGCGTCCTTCCTTCCCAGCACTGCGTCGTATGGAGGATTGTACATCGTCGTAACAAGGAAACGTGTGTTGTGCCATTTGCCCGTATTCCTTTCCCAGCACCAGTCTAAATCGACGTATCCGTCGATCTGCTCGCCGTACAACTCTGTCTGGACAGGCAAAGCGCCTTCTTTGTCGATCGGATGGTATTGCTCGCCCAGTACTTTCGTTACTAGACGATGAGATATAACGTTGGAGTCCGTCGCAGTATCGCAGGACAGTATCGCACTGCGTGTCGTATCTACATCGTCGACAGATCGCGCGCGTATGTGAACTGGGCTCGGATGTTGCAGGTTGCGACGCTTCTACGAGGAACGATAAGCACAAAGAGGACACGGCACGAAGGTAGTGAGTTATACAAACCTTCTTAGTTGAACAAAAAACATGCGTCAAACTACATCTGGGCATAGTGCGGGTAGTTCATGAGCAGCAACAACTCAAAGGGCGCTTGGATCGATTCGAAGGACTGAGGGTGGAGAAGAGAGCAGGAGGACTCTACAACTGAGCCCCCGAGGGGCGTGGTTACAACTTGCCGAGCGGGACGTTTCCTCCGGCCGCCGTGCAACAGACATAGTCTTTCTGACCGCATAAGCCTGCGAATGCACATACTCCTCCGTTCTGCCGGGGTGTGTATCAAACAAGGTATCTATAAGACTTCGATTGCATGCATAGCCCTTGTATGATCTCATGATGATCCGACGCTGTCAAGTTCTCGATAATGTGATGGAGGACAAGGTGTCCTGCAGGCTACAAATCCACCCGCGCCCGCCCTTTCCGGATCAACATCGAATAAGAACATATGCATATGTGCACGTGTTCGTAGCTATCTGCTCCTGAAACATATATACCCATCCTTAAGTTCCGCGGCTTCCTTTGCGCTGGCTTGCCCGTTGTTTATTCATCTTTCGTCAGAATTATGTGTGCAAGAAGGCTGAAGCTCGAAGGCTGAATGAAGGGCCCCACCGACCATGCAGCATGCATGGTCGATGCACGATTACGAACTTGGTGTGCCGCTATGTCTCTTGATTGGCCAAAACAAGCTAGAGGAGGACTGTGGCGCCAAAAGCACCGACGCACCCGTGGACGGCCGCTGAGTATCTCGCCCTTGGAGCTCAGTGCGGCCAATCCCGAGACGCCAGGACAGTCGGCTTCACCCGAGCACCGGTTGTAGCGCACCTGGGCAGCAGTACGAACGTCGCACTTCTCGTGCGAGTGTCTACAACAATTGCAGCCGATAACGGCTCTGAGCGCGAGAGGAAGGTAAACGAAGCAGAAAGCACTGTCCAGCAATGCGTAAGTACTGATGAATACATCATCGCTGTGCAGGCGTGGTCACGATACTGATGCACGAAACAATTAGGAGAAACTTGCGCGCTAACAGTGTGCAGTCAGGCAGTAATAGAGATCATCGAGAGGCCGCCTGCAACAAACGTAAGATACCACCTAAGCGGACATTGCCTAGATAACGTTAGTGCTGAAGCTCAATTTGGGTTAGGGCTCCTGCAATCCGGCGGGTAGATCAGGCTGTCGTGCTGTGTCAAACCAGGTGCCATCCGTACAACCGAGTTCATTTGCGGTGCAGTCCACATCAAAGTCTACTGTTGCTCATGGCGGTGCATTCTACATATGTAGATTTTAGCGTCTGTAAAGATAGCTTCTTCACACTCACTTTACATTTGGTATACATCCATGGATGCACTATTTGGCGTTAGCCAATCTTGCTTACCTGCCGAGGTCACACAGCTTGGCGCTTGTACGAACATACTTAGGTGCCTCGATGACGGCTGGAGTCCTCGTTCTATACAGAATACCTCGGTATGCTTCTTCCCTTAATCGATGTAGTCTAACTGTACAACTGCCCCTAGGTCGTAGTAACTGAATGAAAGCCATGTTATGAGGTGCAGTTTGCGATGGTAAGGCTGACGAGGTCTGGTGTATCCAGCTCATGCAGCCTGGTGCAGACCTACAACTATTTTAAGGCTAGAAAGACAGCTCATCATCTGTATGCCTCATCTTGGTCGGTGAGCCTCATGCAAAGTGTCTTCAAAGATAAAGCATGCCTGGATAGCCTGCCTCCCTTGATCAAGGAATTCTTGAGCCTGGCACGATGCACACTTCTTATCCGATGGTTTCGATAGATCCTTTCCACAACGCAGTCACTGGCTACCCTAAACTTGCAGCAAAGATTGCTGTCCAGCCTGAAGCCGCCATATACCGCAGATTTGGAGCACTGAACGCACAGAACCTGTTATACCTACAGGCCGAACTCGTGGACCTTGAGGAAAGACTGAAAGAACAGCAAGATCTGGACAACAACGACAGCACAGGGAGAAAGTCTGAATACTCCAGAAACTGGTTCTCTCTGCAAGACTCTGGAGTCGATGGCGACACCGAGCAACTCGACCTTGTGATGAAAATACGCGAGGTACTCAAAGAGTATAGTATGTAGCAACGAAGCCTCTGACGCACCGCAAAGGATTTTCGGCTCATTACCATGCAACAGATCACGCTCTGATCCAGCAATCACTGATCCTCGGCTATTCCGAACCCGGAAAGTGGGATTTGCATGAGATGCAAGACTATCTCCAAACCCCAGGGATGGGCCCATTGGCCCTAACAGGCGAAGACGCAACCGTGTGGGGCTCCATGAAGGATCGTACCTCACATGCGCCTGACCTAGTGGCCTTGCGGCCACGCGCCAAAAAGGACGCGTTCTCGGCTTGGGCTGCGGAAAACACCATCTCCAAATTGCAATGGGGCGGGTGTATGCGCTTCATGAAGACATCGCCCATCCATGGCGTAGTTGGTTATGACGACAGTACCATCTATCGCATCACATATTGGATTACCAGCCTCTTGGCTTCTCTGATTCCAATCGCTTCCATAGTAGTGCTGTATTGTGTGCAGTCAATGCCGGCAAGATTCGCTACCATAGCTGCATTCAACGTGCTATTGTCTGTGTGCCTCATGGGTCTTGCTGGTGCGAAACGGGCGGAGGTGTTTGCTATAACAGCTGCGTAAGTTCTCTTTCCCATTCCACAGTTTTGCAAATAACACTGACAATGGTAGTTTTGCCGCAGTGCAAGTTGTGTTCGTTGGTCAAAACGAGAGTACACCGGCATAAGGAGGACGACGACGACATACACGTACATGGTTCAATCTCTTGCATAGCAATAACTATGCATTAAGGGATATGATGCAGCAAGAGGTAGTAGTGCTATGTTGCCATGATATGGGGGTTATATAGAATCTATGACATGGTAACATCTCGTATGCACGAGGCTCGTGCAATCGTTTCAACATCTAGCCGTTCATGTCAGAAACCTCTTTGATTCAGCCCAAACCGAGACCGTGACCCATATCCCACCAGGACTTTAGATGCATGAGGGAAATGCTGTCCTTGTTGTAAAAGCCCTCGTAGATAGAAGTAGAAACCGTTAAAATCTAATAGGAAACCCCAAAGAAACTCTTAAACTCCAGCGCTATAACTCGGATCGTGAACAGAGCAAGATTAACCAAAAGTTGGTGTGTGAAGAGAAGTTTGTGAAACTGGCGTTGCAAAGACCAGGACGAAGCATGCAAACAAAGCAAAAGATGCTTCATAAAACCATTGCGAGTAAACGCGATGGGCAGGTATAGAGATAATGCAGCTGCGAGTATCCTTACAGAGAAGAGAAAATAAAAATGTTAAAAGTCGAATAGGGCGCATGTTTCATACGCATGAGTCGAGTCCCTCTTTAAGAACTTTTACTTGGAGTGGCTGAGTAGGGGAGAAGTAGTAGGCTAGCGTTATGGGCGCCGGGATTGCTGTGTGGTTGGTGAAGAAGCTTTTGTCTATCGGTACGTTGTTGAGGGAGAGTCATGAGTGGACCGGAGTGTGCAGCCCATCAAGCTTATGGGCATGATTACGGCTCGCCGATGTCGGGCGTGTATGGTAATTTAGGTGCTAGATGGCGTGGAATAATGGAGGTGTCGGGTGCTCGGTAATCTGGTAAGGGTATGTTTCTTCGGTCCACTGTGATTAGAACGAGCCTGGTGTCGTCTTTGATAGCGAGGCATCCCACATTTGCCGACTCTTCTTCCCATGGACACGAACAACTCTTCGGCGGTGTCCAGCTATTTGTTGGATTTCTTGTCTTTTTCTTCCTTCTCACGCTGCTTCTTATGCTCCTTTGCTTTTTTACGTTTATCCTCGGCGGACTGTTGATCGTCATGGATGTTCTCAACTACAAAGCAGCTGTTAGTACGGACTGTGCGGGTAAGAGCTTGTAACATACTGTTCACGCTGGTATTGACACCCCGAAAGGCAGCGAGTATGGGGGTTTTACGCCTGAGGAGCTCTAGCCTGTTGATGGTAGGTTGCCCGATGATGAGATCAAACTCGTCGGATTCCACAACGTGGCAGGTCGACTCTTCGATACGGGTCTGCCGAAAATAGGGTCCGGAGGATCGCTGCGCCTGGTTGTTGATTCCTCTCCATCTGATTTCGATCTCGGCGATGCTCAGGTAGTTTTCACGGCCGGTAATGCTAGTGCCAATGGCGACGCCGGCGGACGCGCTGTACGTGTATCCAGGATAGCGGGAAACACAGCTCGTGGATATGGCGTCTACGGTAGACTGGGTATCGACGAGTATCTTTACGTGCCTCCCAATCTCACCATTACCAACGACAAGGTACACGTACCCGTCTGGTGTCCAGACATCGTTGTCATTTTGTTTATGGCGCAAGCTCGACGCCGACCGTCTCATCCATGCTTTCAGTGGCCACCAAATACTCGCTTCGGTCGTATGGGTGTTGTGCGCGGTATTAGTGGTTATTGGGACCGATGGTGTCTCAAGCGTCGCGGTCTCGGATGGCTGATCGCACTGTGCGGGGCTGGTAGGCGCCGCTAAACATACGTCAGATAACGGTCTCCTCTAGCTGCCCTGAGTAGTACTGCTTGAGGTAACATACATGCTGTGTCCTTGGGCGGCCCCTCTTCGCGAGGAGGTTGCGGCGGCGCCATAATGCTTGTTTCGTCCCGTCGCGGATGGAGTGGCGTTGGGCTGTGCCGATGTGTCTCGTGTTGGCAGTGCCGAGAAGGGGGTTCAGGCTATGCGACCTCAGGTGGTGGATTGATTATAGGTCGTGACTCTGCGTGATGTGAATGACCTCTGCCACCACAGAGACGGCGAAGCCGGAGACGACACAATGTTGGTATGCTGCGAATTGGGGAAACAAGTGCACACGGGGAGCCGTGCTGGTGACTCGATAGATAGGAGCTGGCGGAATCGCGCGTCTCGAGTATGGGAGCGCCCACGGCCGGTCACAGGCAAAGATGTCGAAAGCCGTGCTCCGGGGGCTGCGTAAAGTACCCCAGACTTAACCGCGTCTCATGGGCGCGGCGGCAGCATCCCAGTAACGCATCGGCCGCAGTCATCCCGAAACGTGAGAGCAAAATGAACACATAAACCATGGTTATACATCGATCGTCTCCTGGATAATAATACCAGCTACACCTCTCACGTACAGTAGGCTCTTTTCCTGAAATAGCCAGCTATCTAGATACCAATTGTCTGAAGGAAATCTGGTAGAAGCGAACTAAACCGCGCTCTCCTAGATGCACGTGAAGAACCACTTTAGCATGGAACACGAGTTCTGTGTGAGCCTTCCTAGGTAAACAACGCTCTGTCCGGCTTCACCAGGAAGTCTACTTGTGCCACATATGATGGCTTGAAAACCTTCGCACGCGTTCGCCGCAGCTAATGAAGTTGGCCATGAAGCTGGAAGCTATGACCATATGGCTGTTGCCCTGCGCGGAAAGTGGCATGTGGATCCGAGTGGCGGAAATCCAGCGTCGGGACAGCGTGCGATTGCAACGGTCTCCCCCATGTGCCACGTCTTCTTTCGATACCATCGCTTTCGCGAAAACGCATGGTCAGTACATACTGCATACACCTCTCTCCAGGTCTTGTACCCGAATATCAGCAAGGACCCAGACGTCATTGCGGAGTAAGGCGCTAAGCAAGGATACGCGTCCGCCAACTATGGGCTAAAAGCTTTTCCATGCAAGGTACTTCCTCAGCTCAACGAAGAAGCTGTGCGAAAGAGGGGTCTTCGCGCTGCTGTTCCGTGGCAGAAGTGCAGGCTTGGCAGAGACGCTTCAATTGGAGACCGAAGACGCATATGGATCTTTACCAACCAACAGGTAAATTCATTTCATTGACGAAGAAGAGAATACACCTTTGTTTCAGAGCGAGGCCTAGCTTTGATTTGGGCCGTCATTCGACCGGTTGTTGCCCTTAGAATAGTGGAGTCGCACTGCATGTTCTCCAGTTCACGTGAAGCATGTACTCCAGTTCCAATCTAGGCGACCAAACTCTGAACATCAGATCGTGTTACATCATTCTTTATGCCCTTTCACGCATATCGGAAGAACCCTCTCTAATATCGCTCCTTGATTCCAAAACGCGTGCGAATTCCTACAAGTTGCGCAGTTTGCTCTGACGCAATCCTGACCACTCTGGGCTATCAACCACTATACTGTAGTTTGGCTCCAGTAGAAATCCATCTAGCATTCGCATACATATCAACATTCACCGCTGCTTTTGCGTGATTTCTCAAACCCCATATCGGAGACAACACAGCTTATGGCAAAGGACTGGGTTTACGCACAGTTGGAACTCTGTAGCTTTACTCGATAGGAAGTTGCCATTCGTCGTTTCTTTGCCCATTTGCTACAGTCGGCGCAAATGGAAACATGCCGCAAGGTTTGGATGGCTATTTTGCTTTTGGAGTGTGAACACTTGAATCAGATAATATCTCTTGCAATAATTCATCATACCTCTTGGACTTCGACGCGTTGAACTTGAGGCAAGAGTCTTGATACCTAGTTCCCGGTATACATGCTCAAAAGCCCAGGCATAGGTGCACTGGTGTTGGTTCAATGTGATATGCAGAAGTGCCTGGAAGTATAGAGACGCGCGGTCCGAACAGCCAGCATGTGCCAAAACCTGGAAATGAATTCGATGAAGTATATCACACACTTTTCCCAAGCCGTCAAAGACCTGAACTCCTCGATAGTGACACAGAACAACCCTGCACCCTCGACACACGTATGCAGACACTCCATCAATCCTCCTAACCATCCACCTTAGCCGCAGTATCAGCAACCTCCCCAGCCGTCTCAGCCATCTCCTTATCCTCCTTCTTCTCAGCCTTCTCCGCATCTCCCTTACTCGGCACGCCATCCTTGTTATCCACAAGCTCCCTCACGACATCGACCGTGGCTGCCGGGCCACCAGGCTGAACCGCAAGCACCTTGCCCTCCTTATCAACGACAAAGACACCGCGGGTGGTGCTCTTCGGTGGCTTCTTGAAGCCAATGGCCTTGATGAGGCTCTGTGAAGGGTCGCATAGCAGGGTGTAGGGAAGCTTCTGCTTGGTCTTGAAGGTTGTGTTGGCTTTGGGGCTGTCGGCTGAGAGCCCGTAGATGGAGTAGCCGGTTGCGGTGAGGGGATCGTAGGAGTCGCGGAAGAGGCAGGCTTGTTTTGTGCCTTTGGTTGTACGCGTTAGTGCTGCTGTGCGCACGCGAAGGAGATGTCAGGGGTTGGAGACTTACATCCTGGCGTGGAGGCCTTGGGGTAGGTGAATAGTACGACGCCGCCCTTGCTCTCCTCTACGAGCTTTGCAAGCGTTGTCTTGTCTCCATCGTTCGTCTCAAATTCTCCGCCAAAGGACGCGAGGTCAATTGTGTCGCCGACCTTGGGTGGGCCGGTCGCAGCGGCAGCGGACTCGCCGTTGCTCTTACCGACAACAGCTTCCTTGACAGCCTCGACCTGCTCAGTGACAGTTTCCTGGACTTTCTCGACGACAGTCTTCTCGCTCTCGGGCTTCTTCTCCTTGGCGGGCGCCTTCTTCTTCGTTGGGCGCACAGGCGCTGGGGGCGCTTCCTTGCGCTTACGGAGCTCGACGGGCATGTTGAGAATAGAGTCGCGAGATGATGTCGCAGTCGCTTTAGTGTCGCGGGAACGTATAAACTTCAATCAGGGGAAAATTGGGCAGGGAAGAGGTCGGGGTCGGACGCTTGAACGCTCGTGGAAATCGAGGTGGGACGGTTGGCTAAGGGCAGGAGTACGAAAATCAGCGGAACAGTGGTACAACCTCGCAATATGAACAATCGTACCAGTTGGCGGGAAAGATATCCTCGGCCTGATTCAGTAAGAACTATAATATGTGCGTCGTCTAGTCAACGGTCGCAGCGTAAGCATCGTGGTGAGCCCGAGCGAGGCCAGGTCGTCCAGCCTCCTCACTTGGCACTCCCGTCCACATCGATATTAGCCAGATTACCTGAGCCTGCGTCTTTTTCTTCGGGAAACAGCTTATTTCGGACGCGCACTGGGGTAGGAGAGGCTTGTCATTGGCTCGTGAAGTGAGGAGTCGTGAGATGCGCAGCGCTCGGTTGTGCAGGTCCCGGCGCGTCATAGCTTCCCTTGCGCGATGCTGCTGTCCTCGAGCAACACTGTCTCGCAGAACGCCTACAATTGGATATTGAATGCGTCGTATTTCCTTATCTTTACAACACAATTGTGCATCGAATCAAGAATCAACAGCTTAATTCCTCACTTCATAACGCCCATCAGCGAGCCCGAACCAGCACGAGAACACCATCCAAACTCATGCGCTTCATCTATGCATCTTTGGTACCTCCTGAAACCCAGCTCACAGGGTGCCAGTTGTTCTCGCAAGAGAATACCTTGCCGCCAGATCCGCGGTTCAACGCCCATCCAGACGACCACATACCAAGCCCAAACTGTAGCACGCAGTCAGTACTCGTCTTGTAATGTCTTGGGGAATGGACTCACAATGAGCATTCCTAGAATGACAATAGAGATATTCAGAATGGTAAAAGCCGTTTGCGAAGTCGACGAGAACAGCCTACCGTTCTTCTTATTGTGCCACAGCCACATCAGTGGAGGAAGCGCATCTACACGCGTCAGCCAATGCACCTATCACTTTCCATAGTGAGTAGTATTAGTAGTGACTTACAGCTAAACCAGCTTCCAAAGAGAGCTCCGATCAATCCCAATAGCAAATTAAAGTTCGGTACTGCTTCAGCCAAGATCCAGCTTACCAGCCATGCGCCTGTACATATAGCGCCCCAACTTCCCAAGCTCTTCCAGCTATTAGTGGATGCTACGTTTGTCCCCTTCCATACGCGAAAGTAGATGTATTTGGTGGCTACAGAGCCATTGACTACACCTGCGACGATGATTGTAGGCAGCGCGATGCCGAAACAGATCTTGCTGACGAGTGGGGACGCGGAACCAAGGGCGGGTGAGGCTACAAGAGGCCCGGCGTAGTAGTATATTATGACGGAGATGAGCATGTAGAACGTGACTGCGATACCCTGCTCGAAGATGAGAGCTTTGCGGAAGTCACGAGGATCTTCGAGTTCGGATTGGAACGAGAAGAAGGCGACGTGTCCAGCTGTATGAAATCAGCAGACGTCTTTATGACCACGGAACAGGAAACAACGTACTGTAGGCTAGGACAATGTTCATCTGCAGAGGGGGAGGTACGAAGTCAGCATTTGTCTCACATGCACTTCGTACACTTAGGACTGACCACGGGTGCGAGTCCTTTGACGAGTGGTACATCGGGTCGCACAGCAACGATGTTGCCCATGTCTGGCTTCTGGATACTAATCGCGATCATGGTTACCGTAACTGCTACAATGATGGAAGCGCAAGCTGATATATGTCAGTCGCGAGCTCACACGAAGCGATCGGATCCTTTAGCCTACAAAAGTAGCTAAAGTAGCTGATGTTCTTGAACGTTCTGGGCAACCCTAGCAGGAAGGAGATAATCAGTCCGACAACAGTGAAGACGATAGTGCAAGTGCCGTGGTCGGTCATTGCATTCATCGCGACCGCAAAGGTCAAGATGTGCGCCCCCATGATGAAGATCAGGACTAGTAGTTGTCCGACAGCGAGCACCTCGCGAAGCACTGGCCCGCTCATAAGC